GTCCTTGGGTGTTCTGTAGCGCTGTTCCATGATTCTTTGTTGACCAAAACGCGATGAGGAAGGGGACAAAGTGGGTACAAAGCTGGATGGAACAGCACTGTGTCCTGGTCGAAACGGATGAGAAGCTGTCTCTGGCAATGAGTGAGTTTGCGACATTTACCTCGAAGTTCCAAAACTCTTCAGGGAGGAGGTCACTTGGCAGTGCGTTAGGGTGAGACTTGATGTTAAGGATTGTGATGATCGTGAATACCAATGAAGCAAAGCATGGCTCTTTAGCTTTTTTCAATTTTATTTAACCCTAGGTACACTGTGGTGGGCTTGGACACAACATTGTGGCCGAGCAACGCTGCCTACTTGGGAGCTGCTGTGAATGCCACTTGCAGCATCGTCAACATGTCACAGGACAACATTTGTCACTGTCAGCTTCCCCAACTTCAGAGTTCGACCAATGCCGCCACAGTCCTGAAGCACAAGAGGACCCTGGAGGACAACCTCATCGGCCAAAAACTCGATGTTGGGAACATGGTGGTTCTCAGGTTCACCAAGCCAGAGTCGCAAAGGAATGATTCCAGAAAGCCATCCCAAGCTTGCATTGCAGCGCACAGTGCCAACTTCAAGGTAAGCAGCTTTTGCGAGTCGGACCCCATCCGGTCATCTACGATTGGACCAGCTCCACTCATCAAGACTTCCCAAATGCTCGGCTATGATATGGAGGATGGCAGCATGAGCGCTGGCTTGAGAACCGAGCAGAGTCTTGCCCGGCCCAAGAGCAGATTTTGGGTTCCAAGGTAGTAGGTTTGACCCCTCCAAAGAAAACTCACCTATGCAGCGCAATTTTGTTTTGGTTCGCGATGTGTCTATCGAGGAAAGGGTTGCCGATCCATGTGGAAATTTTGAAGTCCTACGCAAATGGCCTTGGCTTGCGCGATGCTGACCACTATCTGTGGGTTGACATCATCCCCAACAGGTGGGAAGGGCTTGGGAGGCAGCGTAATCTTTAATTTGCGAACTCAATCTACTTTGGACCGCTGTAAATGGTTCCATGGTGAAAATTAGAAGGTTTTTGTTGAGTTCATCCAATGTTTGGATCAGGCACTGTGAGTTTGCTCGTGCTGCGGCGGAGTGCATTTTGGACAAGACCCTCCCACAGCTTCGTTACATAGGCTTTGTGAAGAAGGAGTTCTTAGCTAAAGTGCAGGAGGCAATCTCGGCTACTGTGTATCAACACTGGGATGATAGCACGGAGTCGGGACCAAAGACCCGCCCACAGGAAGCTGAGAGCAGTGAGCCACTTGGGTTCAAGGTTCTCAGCATGTCCGCTAATGGTGACATCACGTGGCCAGACTCCGTGACAACACGATTCCCTCCAGACACCTCTGAGTTCAAGGCTCTTGACGCCAGGCGCCAGAAGTTCTTGGAGCTATGTCCTGCGCACGGCACACCAGCCCGAGTCGGGGAGGCAAGTGTTTCAAGGTCATCTGCGAGACCAGACTACAGCATTGACAATGGTGCGGAGCCTTTGGATACAACCCGCTTGTTGGACTTGCCCGGCGTGCCAACTGCTGAGTTTACAGCCCAGAGGCAAGGTCGTTGAAAACACGGTGATAATGTTTAAATAGAATTGGGGACATGGGCCTTCCTAGTTATAGGACAGGAATGATTCAGTGGTCTTGGAAAATCATGTCAATGAGTGGTATGTGTGACCTGCATCTTTGAAACATCATCCCTATCAAAAATCTATGCAACGCCTGGCAGGCTTGCGACGTGCCCTGGAAAGGGCGACCGTCCCTCTGTGGTAGTGACTACTGACTTCAAGCTTTGGATTGGGAACGAGGGAGATGACATGCTGAAGGTGGCACCATTTCCAATCCTTGGTTTTGGGCTTGGTGAATTTGAGGAGAAATGCGTTGGAGGCCATTTGTTTCCTGCTAGCTGCTAGTTCCTCACCATGATGTTGTGGCTTAGGACCTTTTGGAAACAATCTTTCGTTTCAGGCCCTGCGTCTGAGCACTACAAGAAGTTTGTAGTTTGGAGGCTGTCGGATGACAAGGAGCTTGTTTGCTTGGATGGAAAGCTTACACCACTTTGCTCTGTGCTAGAGCAAATGTCTTCAAAGCATGGCTTGGTCGATGTACAACTTCTAGACCACATGTTGACCCAGAAAATGCGACCGGTGTCCTGTTTGCGTTTTGCTTGTGCAAAATACGGTGCTGTTCATTTTCTCAGGCTCCCAGCCCCCCGATCTCCTCTTTTCCCAAGGCAGTTGATGGAGAGGACCATGCCTGCACCATTTCGGTACAACGTGCAGCCGGCACCCGGAGAAAAAACAAACTGTTTGAAACCAAACAATTTTGATGTTCAAGATCCTCTGAATGTGAAGCACCAAATCCTTGGACAAGCGTACCACGGGAACTTCGACAAGCTCTGCAATAACAAGCGGGCTGGAGTGGTTTGGGAAGCCCCTCAACCAATTCTCAAGCTTGTTTTGGATTCTTTCTTTCTGTTTGAGCCAAATAGTGTGGAACCTTTCAACATCTTTCAACAAAGGTCCCAGAACCCCCTTGGGGCCCTTGTCAAAATCCTAGGTGAACATGGGCACTGGTGTGCCTCCCAAAGTGATGCCGGTAAAGCCAAAACTCTGGCTACTTTGCAACTTGGAGATGGCTGGAAAAACTTGGTACCAGCTCACCTCTTGCGCATAGATGGTAGCCATTTTGCTAGCTGGGCCCGTGAACGACTTTCCGTGGAAAGTTTAGAGCAAGTGCTTGACTCATAGATGGGCACTTCCTGTTTCCAGGCTTAAACTCAATTGAATGTAACTGGACCAGTAGCATGTCACATGTCTATACACGGCAGGTAGCATCCAAAGAGTCAAGACAACCTCGACGCACGCTGTCACTCAGGGGTGGACAAAAAAGAGAGCACCAGGGTCACCAAAGTCCAAATTTGTCATAATGAACTCGCAGTTGGATGGAGTGGGCTAGTCCAAAGTTGCCTGCTCTTCCCGTTCCCAGATCAAGCGGCGGGACTGAAACATCTTTCAGTCAGTTTTGCTGGCCTCATCATTTGCGGCCATCACCATGCCATGCCTACCACGTGTCGCAGAGATCACCGAGAGCGAAGAAGAGGAGACCGGGGCACTGGAGCATCCATCCTTCAATGTAGTCGTATATAAATGCAACTTTTCAGGGATTAGGTATTTCTTTTCCTCAATGACTCAGTCAGATGACCAAAGTTTCTGCAGGAGCCGGGTGCTGGAAGACAAACCGGTAAACCAAATTCAACTCCGAAACCAAAAGCGAAGCCGAAAGTGAAAGGGAAGGTGAAAAAGGAAAAACCTACCACTGCCGAGCCCAGTTCAAGCAAGAATGTGACTGCGACAGGTTCCAACGAGCCTCGTCGTCGTACTGGTCGTGCCAAGGCCAAGGCCAGGGCAAAGGTTCAGCCTAAGCGCAAAGCCAAGGCCAACAAGAAAGCTGAACCTGAGAAAGCCGCTTCAGAAACACCTGATAATACCAAGAAGGAACCTGAAAAAGAAAAACCACCAAGAAAGCGACCAGCAGCCTCTGGAGGCACGCTCTAGTGTCATTGAACAAGCATGTTGTCTCATCATCCCCCTCTTGAATGTTGTGATTGGATGTTATTGGCCCGGAGGTGGGAGCAAGATCGGGAACCCGTACTGCTACACCAATGGCACTTGGGCCTTCAAAGTCGATGGCAGCGAAGCGGTCCGAGCAACTCGGCTGGTGTTCTCGAGTTTTGGCATTCGGGGTACTGGTGGATGCTGGTGGCATGCATTTTTTTTGCCTCATATAAGGTTGGTGGTTCGAAGTACGACAAGGATGCGGTCAAAGAGATAATCGCCTCCTACTCAGTGGCTTTGCCATTTCTCTTCTAAGTCTCCTCAACCTCCTCTTATGCACAAAAGACATTATTGTTCCCTAGTGGGGTTCCTTGGGTTGCAAGGATGCGGCACATGCTGAAGTCGTCAAGGGTGGATCAATTCAAGATGCCAAGAACCTTTCCGCGACTTGGCTAGACTAGGCAAAATACAACTTGCTGAATCGGCTCCTAGGTCCAAGTACCAAAATTCATGGATTGTTCTTTCGTGCTCTTTCGCAAGGTGATGATGTTGGAGAAGCTAGATGGTGGCAACAAGCCATGTGCCAAAGTGCTTCCCAGGAAGAAGACGTTGGATCTGATGATCCCACCACCACCAACCCCTGAAGATGAGAAGGGTGGAGACCAAACGAAGGAGGGTGCCGATGAGGCCGATGAGCCTGATCAGGGGGAGAATGCGGAAGAAGAGGAGGTGGAAGATGATCCTGAAGAGATCTGCTAGGAACATAATAGATTCGCTGAGGCTCCCTGCGGAAAAAATCTCACGCGGCCGCTGCGCTGCGGCAGTGCTGCTGCTCTGGGGGTGGTTTGGATGGAGGGCTCTCTGTGAGGCTTTAAGAGAGGGTTTTCGGTCTAAATTTAAGATGTACACTTCAGTGGCCTGAATCAAATCAGTGGCCTGATTAGCATGAAAATGTTTTATAGACAACATCTCAATGCAAAAAGTGCTTCAAGACAAAATAATGTGCGGTTGCTTGAAAAGCAACTGTATTGACCAGGCAGAAAAAAGGCATAGCTATTGAAGACCTAGGTATGGGGGTGTTCCCTTTTCCTGTGAAAAAAAGAGAAGAGAAAAGGGGCATGGACCAATGGATGGCCCACGAGTCGGGAGCGACCAGACACCGCCCCAGCCGCCCAGACGAGTCTACGCGATCAAACAGACGAACCTCGGTTCGAACCGAGGTTAAGCAGGTGAAAGTACTTTCAGCAGTTCGTGGCTGGTTTCTGAAAGTACTTGGTATATACGAAGAGATACTGAGTTCATGCAGATGCTGCTGAATCGCCTACTGTTTTTGTTTCTCCACTGCTTGATGCGGAAGACCACTTTTTTCTCCGTGTTTCCATCGCTGTTTTCTTCCACTTCTTTTTTTTCGCCTGAGGTGCTGATGAGTCGTCATGTTACCTTGGAAGCAGGCAGCCAGGACACACCCGCCGCACCGGTCGCTTGCGCTTCGCCACACCGGTCGAGCGGCGGCTCCGCGGCGCGGCACGGGGGACCTTCCGCGAGGAGCTCAACCAGGCGAATGAGGAGTTGGTGCTGCGGCTGGATCGCCTGCGGGAGGAGTTCACGCGGATCCACACGAAACTGCCCGGGGAGCACAGTGGAAGCGCGGGGTGGGTCCGGAGAACGGGAGAGATCAGGCAGGTTGGGTCTCCGGGCAGAGCAGTTGGCATGGAGAGATCAGTGTCACCAAAGAAGAAGTGACTTGTCTGACTTGCGGATCGCTTTTTCTTTCCCCAAACAGTTTACTGGGGTCTACCGATGTGGAACAACACCTGTTTGGGGTCTACCGATGTAGGAGATATACGCCGGTTCTGGGGCGAAGCCTCAGACCGGCGCAGAAGAACCGAACCACCGTTGACGGTGACTCCCGTGAACCGTCACGGAGACGATGCGGAGGGATCTTCGTGCCGAGCAGATCGCTCTGTGCGAAGCAGAGATCAGGGGTCCGACGTGGTGGATTTGGAGGGTGACACATGACATATTTTTAAAGGTTTCTTGGCCCACCCCCAGTTAGGTGGAGAGTTCTTTTTCTTTGCCGGATGAGTAAAACATATTTGTGGGAAAGGTTGGGTGATTAATTGGTATAGCTGTTTGGGCAGATGTTGGGGTGGGTCTGGTTCCAAACCAAATCATTAGCCTGGGTCATATATTATATATATACTGAGTGACCTCTATTTTGGTCAAAAGCATGGGTTCATACGGTATATATATATATATACCTGGAAGTCAAGTCGACCATTTTTTAATGGTTGAGCTGGTTTTGTTGTGTAAAACCCTTAGCAAAACCATGGTGATTCGGTAAGGGCTATTAAAACAATGGTGGTTCGACTTCCAGGGATATATAGATCGAGCCACATCGGCTCCGTTGTGGTTCACGACGTCAGCTGAGGCAGAATGAGCACTTGGCCATTAGCAGTCAGCTTCACAAGTGCCAGGCGGGTACCAGCTGCTACCAGCTGCGCTATTTGGGTGCAAAAAACGGCTCAACTCCCCAGCCATCATCCCCAAAGAGCAGGAGCAGCCACTAGCAATGATGATGTACAATGACAAATGATAAGAAGGTGCGAAGGAGGCCTTTCAGGTGGCCATCGCCATCTTTTGGGGAAGACACACATACGCACGCACACCTTGCCATCCATGTCCAAACAGTTAGGGAAACACCTCAGTTGCTTTGACACTTGACACCGCGCCACACTGGTCCGATGTGTTTTGTCCCAAGGGGTCGTTTTGACACCTTCTTCTTGCGATCTCGTCTTCTCCCTGATGCCACCGGGCCACCGGTTTGTCGCCCGTCGGACCGGTCGGGAACAGCTGGTCGTGCGTCCGTCGAGTCTTGGCTCTCGGGCGAGTTCGGTGTCGAAGAAAGGTGTCGGACCTGTTCGTTTCAGAAATCGAAGCCGAAGAAGGTGTCAAGTGTTTTCACAGCACTGAAGGTGGAGTTCCACGGGGAAAAGACAAAATTAAGAAACCAAGCTGTCAAGCTGTCCGGTTTGACCATGGGTCGAGCACGACTCAGATGACTGGGATGCTACTCACTTAGGGTGGACTGCACACTCAGACTTCCAGGAGATGGTCTCTTCTTTCCGGGTGGTGGAGATGGTGGGGCAGTTGTTGGGCCTTGTTTTAAGTGTTCTAAGTCGGCGCTTAAAACATGGGCTCATGTTGTTCCAACCCAATTGGAACCTCCTGAGCAGCTAAAAAATGTCCAAAGAGATTCTACGTGTATGTCTTGTAGAATGGATATATACATCAGAGGGTATTGTCAAACTCCCTACTAATCCAGGAAGTTTGGTTGCCTGATCCTATGACTTGCTCCAGGTGGAGCTGGAACAACACTTGGCTGAAAGCCAGGAGAGACGAGATGTGGACGTGCTTGTGGACGTGCCATTTCGGGGGGGCCGGTGTTGGACCAGGAAGCTGATCGGGCCGGAGATCCGAGACGTCTTGCGGTTCCGACGCGGAACACAGATCGCCGGCGATTCCGGAAGCCGGGTCGTCTCAAAGTAGAAAGACTTCCCAGGCGTCCCGACCCCCTGGAAGATGGAAAAAAAGAGTTCCTGGGACCCGGAAAGACAGGGTTTTCCTCTCAAAACGCCCAGTGGTTTGCACAGGGCTCTGACGTTTTCCACCGGGCCTTCAAAACGCGGCCGGAACCGTCTACCCGATCGGAACCGCTGTTTCTGCCGAACCGAAGTGAAGTGAAGTTCTCAATGCGGTCGACGCCACGGCGCCGAAGAGAGGAGAAAACACAATGGAACATAGGAGAAAACAGTGTCCACCCCACATGGACCCTCACAACCACTATGACTTTGATGTGCTTTGATGTGCAAGCTGTCTTCGGAAGACACCGTCTTTTTCGACACGGCACTTGTGCCGTCACGTGGATTCCTCGAGCCCAGACGAAGCCATTCCTGGAGCCTCCCATCGCCTCAGGAGCTGGAACAGAGGCTCAACCGCGCACTGGAAGAGAAGGAGTTGAAAGAGAGCCAGGCCCCATTCGGCTCAACCGCTCCGTTCGCGCCGAGCCTGGGACCGAACTGCCCCAATCTCTGGACACCCACCCTTTCGCATCGCGTCGAGTACGGCTCAACGACGACCCCCCCGCCTTCGCGCTCTTCGCGCCTTCGACGGTCGACGGTTCTTCGGCCCTTTGGGTGCGCCGGTCGAAGCAGCACCGAAGGGGAACGGACACCGATGTCGCTGGGTTCGCTTGCTTCGCTGGTCGCTGTCCGGGTGCGTCGCCGAAGCGCGAAGGATGCGACACACCGGTGAACGGGCAGCGCGACACACGGTTCACCGGTGTTTGTCCGTGCCTGGAAGGCTCAGGCTTAGACGATCTCTCATGGTCAGCCCAAACACCCGTTTTTGGCTGACATGTGCCGGTTCATGGGTGATGAGTACAGAAGAGCGAGCCTGGCGAGCTGCCGCGAGCCTGGCGAGCTGCCGCGTGCCACGTGCCGCGTGCTTTGTTGAGATGACGTTTCCTTTGTTTCTCATGAGACTCTCATGCCCGACTGGTCGTGCCAGCTACTTTCCTGACACTTTTTCAGGAACGGTCCGGATGGTCGGGGTTAGGCTCTGTCGCGACTGCGTTGGATGAGCTGGAGGAAGGACTGATGATGTGGATCGGTCGCATGGCACTCGCCATTGGAACTGGCTGCAAAGCAAGAAGATGGCCGAAACATGTTGAAACACCTTAGTAGTCACCAGCTACGACAGCGCCGTGGAGTGAAGGTGCAGGTCCTGCGCCGACGCACGTCGGCGTTGGATGAGCAGGGCACTCCAAAACTGCGCAGGGCGGGCCTTTGATGCTTGAATTGTTTTTTGGTCGCGTGATCTCCGCCAGAGCTCTTCAGCAGTCTTGGTGTTGAAATAGGACGCACCTGTTTGGTTGGAAGCCTGCCAAAGCCAAGCTTCTATTTGGATCTCAATTTCTGAATCTTGAATTGGAACTGGACTTGCCTCAGCAACTGAAATTTACAAGGGATTTGTCAAAGATGCCTGAACAGTAGATTCCAAATTGTTCGGCTGCCTGGATTGGCTTCCATCTCTTGTCTTCTATACCGACTTCAGAGTGCATGGATTTTGTCCTGAGAATCTTCAACCATTCACAAGCCAAGAAGAAAGATGTGGCTCTGATTCATCCAGGGTGTGCCCGAAAGTGTGTCTTCTGAAGTTGCAGGTCTAAGACACATTGACCAAACCAGCACCACCAGCCATTCCGAAGCAGCGAATCCGTTTTGTTTGATTTCGGGCGATTCCCTTGACCGTCTCCTTGACCATCTCCTCATGTCTCCATGTTTGAACGAAGTTCTATCTCCAGACCTCCCACATCCCCCCCCCCACACACTATTGCCAACAATGTGTTTTGTGTTGGATGGCGATTCTCTTTGTAAAGATAATATGATGATATATTACATGTGTTTTACGTGCAACGTGCCCAACGATGAATGAAGTGAGGAGAACGTTCCCAACGAGGCACTGGTAGGCACTATCAGGACACAACATTCTGAGAGGTCTGGACACACGGGTTGGTTTGGACAGTGATTTAATGTAATGAACTCTAATGGTGTTAGTCTTTGGAACTATAGTGGTAACTGGATGCCCTGGGGTATATAATGAACTTTAATATTAACTCAGAATAACTCTAATGTAGAATAGTGAACCGTTGACGAATAATAAACCGTTGACGAATAATAAACCACCCACATGGAGATGTAAAATCCATTCTGGAAGGTTTCTTTTTGAATTAATCGAGAATCAAGAGTCTACAAAAAGGACTACTCGTGTGGACTTTCCGGTTCCCTCCACAGCCTCCAAGTCTTCAATCCTGGCGAGTCGTTTTCGCCGAAGCAACTGTTCGGGCGAGTCGTTTTCGACGAACTGTTCGGGGATTTCATGAGGATTCCGGGGGAAACGGAGACGTGAACAGAAGCGCTGTTTGCCTCAAGAAAGTCCACACATCCTTTGGCCTTTCTGCATCAAGCAAGCCAGGAGATTCTTCTAAAACCATCGTGCCATTGCCTGAAAAACAGTCCTCCGCCAATTTCAGGTATTTCAATCAAGACCACTAAAAAGTACTCTGAACTGGATCGCCTTAAAGCAAGCCGCTCATGACCGCCCCAGTCAGACAACCAGTCCCAACCTCTTGGCTCTCAGGTGGGTGTGATCACCATGGCCATCGAGCAGCTCTTCTCGCGAACGGTGAACTCCTGTCGTTTGCCCCAGCGGAAGAAGGCGCCGCCGATTTGTTGGGCCCGGTGACGGGGCAAAAACCGGTGGCGCTGGCAGAGTTCAGCTCTCCACCTCTTCGATTGCAGGTTGTGAGTTTCATGCGAAGTGGACGCCTCGAAGATCAGACACCGAAGCGGTGGTTGGAAGATTTTTGTAGCTGCCGCAAGAACCCAGTGACTTCCAAGATGAGAGTCCACGAAGTTTCGAAAGACACCTTGAATTGCTCAATGTCATCATTCAGGTTGAAAAGAATCCCATTGGACATGATTTCAAACCCTTATGTTCTGTATTTATGACGTTTGACACCCGGAATTTCGGAAAGACACCTCGAGAACCGAGCAGACCTCCCCCGTGCGAATCGCTTTTGCCTGCGCGAGTCTGTGCGCAGGCGATGATGGTGCGGGGACCCAAAAAAAGAGGGTCGTCGGGGAAGTAAAAGCGTAAGTTCTTCACTGGACGCAAGATGACGCAAGCAAGTTTGTCCTTGTTTGTCCTTTCTTGCCGTTGACCTACTGCAGCTTTAAGAATATCTATTGGGGGTGATGATTCTCTTTCAAGCTCAGTGAATAGAACTCGACTTCTGGGTAGTCCCAGAGGTATGGTTCCAAGTCTTTTAGAACTTCGATGACTCATCCAAGAACTTCACTACGTGGGGATCTTAGCGGTGTAGTGGAGGCAAGTCTCCGGTGTACTGGATACTGTCCGCGGTCTCCACATTAGCAATCACGTTTGGTTGACACAACTGCAGATCAAGAGCACGTAAATCAGTAAATCAATGTATATATACATCACGAGCTCAAAACTCCAGGGGAACAATGTTGCTATTTGTTGCCAAATGCATGGTGTTTCTGCCACTCTTGATGCTTGTCAAGACATGTTCTATCAACAGAAAAAGAAAGTATACATCACATACACCACTGAAATGATCTCAAAAGCAGTCACTCAGTCACTGAGTCTCGCAACACCACATCTCTTCCCTCCTCGGAACCCAGAACGACCCCGCCCTCGCCGCAGAGTCCTGGCGTTTCCCAAGGACGCCACCGACATCAAGTTCGCGCCAGTGCGCGGTGACAAGGGCGAGAGCCGCCTGGAGGAGAGCCGGGCGAACAGCAGGTCCACGGAGAGAGTGGGTTGGACGCGTCGATTTGGAATTGGGATCGAAAGCACTTCGACAGCTACGCACGGCGGTGCCCACTGGGAAGCTGACATCGGTGTTTGATCGGTTTATTTTGTTATGTTTGTTTGGCCTTAGACAGGGGACCAGCAATGATATATGTGGTAGATATTTTCTTGTAGGTAGCCCGACGTTCCCTTTGAAACTCGGCTTCCTCTTCAGAGGAGATGTTCAAGCAGATCATCGAGCGAGTGGAAGATCTCCAGGCCGAGCTTGCGAAGTTCTTTGGCGGCGGAGTGGGACGGTGGCGGCTGTGGTGATCTGGGGCTGAGTAAGGCCAAGGATGCACCTGGTTGGGGCTCCTGGTTGGGCCGGGGTGTTGGGGCAGAGTCTGGTGCTGCGGAGAGCCTGTTTGGGTGAGCCTAGCAGTCATATGCATGAGTCATATGTGCATGTGATGCTGCCCAGGTTCGGATGTCCAAGTGAATGCAATATGAGATAGGATACATGACACCTTTTGGGGGTGGATGCACAGATCTTTCAGCGTCCTGGAAGTACGTCACGTTCAACACTCCCCCCTCAACTGGTGTCAAGGGCTTCCAACAGAACTCAGGCAGCTTGGAGCCTTGCTATGCCTTTGCTTTAAAGAATAGAAACGGAAACCAAAGGAGTGGTGATGGCCGGGGCAAGGCTCAACGTTGGAGGGAGATGTGGGGAGCAGCATACGAAAAAAACGGATAAAGAAGTAACGTTAGAGATGGAGGCACAGGTGCCTTAGTTCAAGTTGCTACTATTGTTTTTTACGCTCAAAGATGCTCAAAGTCAAGAGCAGGACTTAGCACAAAAATGCAGCAGTTTCGGACCTCTTTGCACGGATATGACCCTGCCCGGGGTCTTTCCACACTTTTGCGACGCTTGCCGACGCTTGCAACCCTTCCATCACTTCCATCCCACGGGTTTACATCAGGCTTTCACTAGGCAATGCGTCATTGGAGCCCCTGGAAGTCATCACAGGTTTCATGTCAAAACCAATGCATCGAACATTCAAGACATCGCACAACACGACGTTTTGGGGCGCAGCACCGCGCGACCGGACGGCTTCGTCGATCGCAGGAGATGCATGCCACGGCTCAGCTTAGTCGAGAGAAGCAGAAGGAGGTGCCGAATTTGGTCGATCGCAAGTGGACACGGCGAAAGGGAGGTCGAAGAAAGGGATACTATACAAAAAGATAAAAAAGCAAGCTCCGATCGAGGGGTTCAAGGGTGGAAACAGCGAAACAGATGGACAAAATATGATCTGGATTTGTTCTGGTCAGATATGCACTCTCAATCACTCTCTTGATGCAATGCTTTCTATGCACATTCTCAACTCTTTCCAAGCATGTTACATCCAAACTCTGCAAAATGACAACCACTGCCACCACGACCTTCCATGACAGGGTTTGTTCGTCGCCGGAACCTTTTCCTTTGAACACCTTCTCCCTCATTCATCGCCCCTTCCTCCCTTCCTCGTCAGACACACGTACTGCCGGTCACTGTCGGTCACTGCCGGTCCCATGCGATCCACTCTCTGTGCGGCTGTGCTCGCCGAGAATCGCACGCGGCACATCAGGAGGAGACGCTCTTCGACGAGGGTGGCTTCATGGATCGCATCAAGTTCGTCTACCAACGAGGCGCCGGGCGAGCTCCGACGAGCCGAAGGGCGCACCGCGGAAACCCAAGGGCGCACCCATCGGAACAGGGGCTCCATCGGGGGCGGTCCGGGACGGGTGTGGAAGCTGGGTGCAGCTGGGTGTGGAAGATCCCAAGTCCGTTGGAGTGGAAGTCGAGGTGAGGTGACGAGGTGACTTGGTTGCGGGTTGTTGAGATGCCCAGTGTGTGGAGCCAGCCGATCACAGGGTTTCCCCGCGTCCACAAGTCCAAAGTCGTCATCCAATCTCGACATGTGACTCTGTACTGCGCGTCCCTTCGCATCCTAAAAAGACACCCTTCGCACGGAACCCAACAGTGAATTCACTCCCTCAACGGTCTGCTTTGCTCCTTGTCTCCGTCCCGTCCCCGTCGCGCCGTCAGGGGATGACGATGGCGTCAGCCGGAGGCGGGCGCCGATGCCCCGGTCGATCCGGACGTTTGAACATCGTGAACATCAGGGGCCACCGCCATTGTTGGGCAGACCTTCCAGTTAAACATGGAGATATCCGTGGTGAACCTTTGAATATCCATTTGGGATGATGATCCGTTTTCCCACTGAAGACGAACAGGAAAAACAATGGTCAACCTTTGTTCTTCAAGCAAACGAAAGGAGTTGTCCAGTGCTAGCGGGGACTTAGAACATGTTAGGGTTTCTTAGTGTAGCCATGAAAGTGTCACACATTGGGGTGCAATGCTTGAGACTTCTAGCTCCTCTTTTTTTGGGGAAAAACACCAAGTCCGAATGAACCCGTTAAACGTTTTTGGAGGGTTGCCGGTATTGGTGATTATGCCAGTCCAGATACAGGCAATTGAGTGCAGAGGACATCTGTAGGTCCGCACTTAAGTCTCATAAGTAGTCTCATACTCTCCGCTATTTTGAGGTTATGTATGGTTATGTTATGTCAGTAATGACTCACTTTTGAGTTCTGAGATGATTTCCGGAGTTACCAGGAAGTTCTCGACAGCCACTTGGATGTTTCAGGCATTCCCAGATGTCACTGGGTCATGTTTGCATCTTCCAAATCAGCCTGGCCTTTCCGCAGGGACACTGATGGTTTGGGCGCGGGCAACAGCACCCTGAAGGGGAGGCGCAGCGAAAATTTGCGGTTTTCTCGGGTGGAGTGTGTTAACTCAACAGCAAGGTCTGCATGTTTTGTTTACAAACCATGCTCTATCAAGTCCCTTTTCAGCAGCAAGGTCTATACCCTTGGAATAGGACTTTTCTGATTTTGTGCTATCCATCACCCATCCAGATGTTTTTGCAGAAGCCCGTCCCATATTTGAGAATTCATGACAGATCACAAAAAGAGTGGCTGAGTTTGGACAGGAATACTTATCAATTCAGCAAGGGTATTTGGGGGTTGGGGTCGTAAGCGATTTGCTACAGTACCTCTAAGGAGGTAAGTTTGTGAGTTCCCTCCAACCCTCTATAAACCACCGCCGTGAACTACAGTAATCCTTTTGATCGCTTTGCTTTTCGACTTTGGGCTGTGTCACTCTTGACCCAAAGTGACTGAACAGTCGGCAGAGAGGGCACGAAGGGCACGATGCGCACCGGTCAAGTCGGAGGGGGCAAGCTTTGATGGCCGAGAAGCGAAAGCTCCGGCGAAAGCACCCTCGGATGTGTCGCGAAAGCACCACACACGCCAGACTTCTGCAAAGTGATGTTGGATAGTCTAGTCTTTTTTTTTGCCCAATTCAGACGTCAGAGCTCCGAAGTTCATCTACGCATCCCCGTGCCAAACCTCAAATCAGCCTCCCATGGGGATGTTCCTTGGACATCCGATTGCTAAGACCCGGGGAGCTGCGTTTCGGACCCAGGCCCACCGATCCAAACCTCAGCGCCGGCGCGGCCTCCAAGGAAAAGTCAAGGGAGGGCCTAGGGAGGGTCGACCGGGTCTCAGATTGTGTGGATAGTTCTTAGGTGTTCCTATTGAATCAACCCTGTTACCCTGTTGTCTAGCTGTACTTTTGTGGTTGCTCTTTGGATCTTGCTCACGAACTCTTTTTCTTCAGGTACTTCTTGATTTTAGAGAAGCGCAATAACAGTTCGAACGAACAAAAGGCTCATTCTTTCTTCGGGCTCCATCTGAAGACCGGCAAAGCGAACCACCAAGGATCGGACTGGGTTAGGCACCGACGGCCACGGCGACCGCACAGCGACCGCCGACGACCGAAGTGACCCTGACCCGGAAGACGGAGGTGTTTCTTCCAAGCTGGACGTTGGTGACGAGTGGTTCGAGTGGTTCCAGTAAACTCATTCGACTCGTCTCTTTCGACTCGTCTCCGGCTCGAGATGGTTTGCGACGGTTCGCCACGCAGCCACGACGGTGTCCGTCTTCCAACAGCACGGTGGGTTTTCACCCCAAAACGAGACCGTCTGGTCGTCGTGGCACCGGTGCGGTGCGACGTGTCGGTCGTGGTTCGTCCGGTCGCGTGACCAGGTCGTCAGACGTCGAGTCCAGGTCCCGGTCGTCCACCCGGACGACGTCGATCTGAGGCTCCTCGAAGTCATGAAGCGGACGCTCCCTTCGAGGCAAGCGGAAAACAACGCATTCCGCCGCTTGGTCCGCTGTTCGGATCTGTTCGATGGTATTTAGGTATACGTGTATCCCAACCGCCCTGATGGGTGAAGAGATCCACATGGAACCTGAAAAAAAGAAAAACACACTGCATGGGTTTGTAGAGGAACCCATCGTCTTTCAGATTCCTGTCTGGTCCATGATGTTCGCCCGGTTCCATGATGCTCGATGTGGGTCTCGGAACGTGGGTGAAATCTTTCGATGTTTGGATCTTGGTTTGGATCTCTTCTGTCAAAAGTCCCGCACAGGTCCGGGCATCTCTCGAACATCTCGCGACTGCTTTGAGCAGGGCTCCCCCACACTTTGGGGCTCCGAAAGGTTTGGTGGCCAGATGCCTCTGAAGATCTCTGAAGCCTCCACATGACAGACGTCAGACGGATGACGATGGATTCTCGTATAGATGAGATGGTCACCCTCCCAGCTCTGGTGCTGGAGACTCCGGGACTCCATGGAGTCGGGTCGTCTGTCCTCCTGTCCCACGCGATCGACGACGGGACCCGACCGACCACGACCGACCACAGGACGACCTCCGACACCGCCGGTGGCAGCTCTCCAGGACGGTGCACCCGGTGGCAGCGTGACCCGTGGGGCGCGGAGACCGGCGATCCCGAAAACCGCGATGGAAGAGGCCTCCACCGTGGCGAGATCTGTATTTTTGAGGGGGGGTGGACTGGTCTATTTGCCTTCGAACGTTGAGAGGTCTAATTCAATGCAGACCCGAAGATTTGGTGGAGAGATCCTCAAGTTTTTGGAGAAAAGACAGACCCGGGAGCCGCCCTCCAAACAATTGTCCTGCTGGGAGACCTGCTGGGAAAAGACCTGTTTGGGGAGACCGGCGGATCGTTGCGGATCGTTTTGAGGGTTCCAAAAGCTTGAAGAGGCACCATTGGCCTTCAGGATTTTTCTCTCAATCTCCCCTTCTTTGCTTTCCGACCAGATGCAGCACTGCACATCCGAACGAGGAGCGATGGAAGATCCGGATCCGCTGACAGATCCGCGCGCGGGTTTCCGCGCGGAAACGCGGATCGTTTCACCGCCGAGGAAAATATCCGGCGATTCACCAGGGAACACGGTCCCAATGTGATGAACAGCGTAACTTCAGCAGTGATGTAGTGAAGAGGTTGCAGGTGCCTCGCAATGGTTTCTACTGTAAACAATCCTGATGTTTGTTGCTGAATTGTTTATTTTATCAGGGGGATTGAAAGCCGCGATGTTCGTCTCGGAAATCTTTGTGATGGCCTCGCAATGGTTTCTACTGTGTCAGAGGTGAATCAGACGTATTTTATACATTGTAGTATACGTCTACGTTGTCTCTTTGGGGAAACACCAGAGGATACCGTTGTCTATTCCCTGCAGAATACCGATGTTCCACCAGGTGGACCCAACCTGGTCTAAAGCCTTGATGTCAGGGTGTGGACTTGGAGGAAAACCATCCGAGGGTTCAAAGCCTCAAAGCCTATCCTGATAAGGATATGAAGCCAAAAGAACGACAAGGATACACGGTCTTGATGAATCATTAACACCCTGATACGATTTGGTTCGATAGGATTTCAGGATTTCCATGTTTGTTCACTGCGTTTTTTCCATGTTACTTTTTTCCATTGACGTCCAGAGCCCGACCCTCTTGGCGGTTTCGTACCGGAGGGATCATTTGCTGGCCAGAGGAAATGAACTGGGCTGTTGCATATATACAGTATATATACATATGCTCAAATTCCTGGCTTGAAAGGAACGTGTTTGTAGCTGTTCTACTGAAATCACATCCTAAAGATGCTTTGGGGCGTGCTTCTCTTTGGCGGTTGCAAGCGCCAACTCAGCTTGCAGAATTTGAAGACAAAAATGTTCTGCAGATGGGTGGTTCATTGGTTGGTTGATCAACCAAAGAATCAGAGGGTTGTTTTGGGAGTTGTTGAACTTGTGGTGTTGGTTTGGTCTTGTTTGTCGTGCATCGACATTCCATTATTTACTGTATAATATATGTACTCTCCCCTGGAATAACATGCACGAAAAGCGTATCCCACCGGTAGCTTTCAAAGTCAAGGTGTCTGACCTCTCCGCCCCAGCCTTCCGTCTGGAGGGAGGGGTGGGGGGTCAGACCTCAAAAAGAGAGAAAAAGGGAGCCATCCCTGACGACCGGATCCCCTTTGTGGGGTGTGGTTGTTGGGGTATTGGCCCAAGTGCCCTCCCCTTTCTCTCCAGGCTTCCCTTGTGGGAGCGGGAGAGTAGGGAGGGTTTTGTGTGTGTGTGGGTGTGTAGTGAAAGGAGGGGCCACCGAGGAGACAAGAGCGCTGTCCTGTTCCGAAAGGGGGCTCTGAGGGCCCTATCCCTCCAAGACTTGAGTCTAGAGGTCTTGGAACAATGGAAGCGCAGAAGATAAGGTTCTTTAAGAAAGGTGGCACCCTCGAGGACTGGAATGACCTCATGCAAGGAGGCCTGATGCCAAGTCACCTGATGTGGGTGGACGCCAAGAGCCATGATTCTGCCATCACCCCGACTGAGTTTGTCTTTGCACTTCTTCCTATCATCTCTGCAGAGGTGGTACAGGCATTTGTCCTGCTTCAAGTACTGTTGGCCGTACCATTCATAGTAACCATCACTGGCGACCAGGTGACCACCGATCAAATAGCCTCGGCCCAAATCATCCCAGTCCTCGACTCTCATGCAGGCCTTTCCCTGAGCTGCTCCATGCCAATCATAGCATTCATACTCTATCAGGCATCCTTCGTTTAGGACTGATTCATGCTGAGCAGGAGATGCTGTGAGTGTGGCGGGATAGAGAAGATTGCTCGTAGACAAAGGATTCCAAGGTCCAGTCATCCAGTTGTTACGGCAGCATGCACTGATGGAGGATGCGCTTGATGGGAATGATGATGATAAGGCGCGGCCTGAAACGTACTTCTGAAAGACGACGCAGGGCAAGAGATGCTGGCAGAATTGCATTAACCATGAACCATTGGAGTGGGATTGTTCGTTTTCACGAGCGGAGTATAATACAAGAGTGAATGAGTTTGGTTTGCAAAGCCGTCCAATCTCCATTCTAGTTGTTTTAGCAGCGTACGCTGCTGGAGGATGTTCATGATGATCGCAGTCGCAGTGTTCATGAGACGTCTTGTTGAAACCTTTTTGCTAAAGTTGTTTTGTGAGGCAGACGCGGTGGACAATTCCGAGACGGCTGAGCCGGAAGATCGTGCTGAGCAGGGGATGCTGTGAGTGCGGCGGGATAGGGAAGAGTGTTCACAGGGTTCCAAGGTCCAGTCATCCAGTTGTTTCAGCAGCATGCACTGATGGAGGATGCTCTTGATGACTTGGAGAATCCTGGCGTGTTTGGCTATGGAGAAGAACTTGATGACTTGCCGGGCACCGCCGACGAGCGTGCAAGTTCATCAGCCATGAAGTGGTTGAGAGCGATGAGAAAGATTCAAAGGTGTCACACACACCTCCAAGGACATCAAGGCTGAGTGACGTGCTTCCGATTGATCAACATGCACCTGAACCATCCCCGAAAGACCCGAAAGCAGATGCTCCAGCTCTTGAAGTTCATGATTCATGATGGCCAAGATGATCAAAATGTTGAGATTGTCCAGCGTGAAGCCTGTGACAATCAAGATGAACAGAACGCTAGTCGCAAAAGGAAGCGAGGGGCACGAGGGGCAGAGCATGCAACTCAATCCGGCAAAGACAATAAAGACAGGACCGTTTCCACATTGCTGGAAGAGCTGAAATCATAGCTGAAGGAGCTACCTCCTCACACCATTCACACTGAGGGGAAGAAGTTGCCAATACAACGCTTGACTTGCGCACAGGTGTATGGGAAGAAGGGGTCAAAGTATCAGCGACCATAAATTGAACGGCATGTGAGGACTGCCAAGCACCAACGTGCCAATCAGTTGCCCGTGGCAAGGCAATGAGAACAGGAACACAAGTCATGGATCGTGTCCGGGGACATCGCAAGTCATACGTCCCGAACTCTCTCCATGCCAAAACCTCCAAAGGACTAAACCCGCTGTTGATGCAAGATGCTTCGCGGAAGTTACGCCGGCTGCGCATCTTTTTCAAATGTTGGTTTTGACTTAAAACACTGCGAGGGTCAAGGATTTCTCTCTTGAGCAAACGTTCTTGTCTTGATAGAAGACGAGGGGGGTCTAAATTGACCCACTTGCACGTCGTATTTCCAATACGTTGGAGCATTTTGGCAGGGCCTTTTATGGTAAAAACATGTAAAAGCCATGCGAAAATAACGTCATGAAAGCATGAATGAAGCACAAAACCCTGCGTTTTCCCATGGATTCTGCGTTTCCATGCATGATGGAAACTGCTCAAAACCCCAGGGTCGTAACAACGCCGGCACCTTGTTTTGCACCATGGCAGGCGATGCGGAAAGAGAATGAACGGACGCAGCTCTTGTGGAAGACGCTCATTCAGGCGATGGGGCTGCTGCTGCAGCTGTAACCTGACCCCGAAGATATCCCAAGTGGAAAGGTCCTTGTTGACTTGGGGGAGAATGAAATTTCATCAAACCTAGTGTGCATGACAGTTAGACTGAATTACCGAGCGCACCAAATTTTGAACCGGTTTGCACCACCTCGCGTGGTTTTCTTGAAATGGCATTGTTCGAGGGCTAGCCTCATCTGCTTGCGATTGGCAAAAATGTGGACAAGTGAGTCAGTGCCTTTCAGTTTTGACTGGGACAAACCATGTTCGCATTCGGTGATCTTCATCAGACCCTGCGACCCAACCCCCATCTCCGACGTTCGGTTCGGGCGCCATCGGGGAGGCCATCCCGCTGGCCGAAGCCGCAGAGCTCTTCCAGTCAAAGGCGAGACGCGCTCTCCGCGCAACCGAAAGAGAAACGCGCCGTGCGTGGTCTGATATTTGGGGTGTTTGGGGTGGCGATACTGGTTTCCGTTAACTAGGGGAGGAGGGTGCCATGGATGACTTGGAGTGCAACTGGCTGAGGCATTTCATTGGTTGGTCAAACATCTGATGAGGACCACAGGGTCAGCTATAGTCATTGCTAGTTTGCAGACGGGCAGGTTCTTGCGCGTTTATTGGCTCAATGGGTCCAAGGACTGGCCATGCTTCACTGATGTAGAAGGGCATCGAAAACCCACCCAGTGTGTCATCGGAGACTCCAGTGGAAGAAAAGGAGTTGAAAGAAGAGTTTCAAAACATTTTGACTCTAGCGGAAGAGTTCATCCTCCCAGTTTGCTCCTTTCATTGCCATACCAACTGATCCTCCCAAAGGTTGACGTGCTGGAAGAACTAGGAGGACCTCCACAGTTGGCACAAATGACAGTTGGCACCCAGTCTGGCGGTTCCACATCGATTTATTTGGTAATGAAAAAAACATATTCTCCTTGTTCTTGAAGAAGCGTTTGGTGGACCATCCCACTCAGTTGCAGGGTTTTGGTGGAGAAATTCCACTCAGCTACAGGAATCCAGTCAGTAATCAAGTCTTGTTCTCCTTGCTCTTCTTGTGCCGCCGACCTCAGGGGCATGAACCTCCCACTGAGCAAGAGCTGATGGATCTGCTGGGGCCGCAGTCAACCGAAAAAGATGCAGTCTAGTCACTAGTCATATCTACATGGTCAATCCGAAAAAACAAGAAAACACATGGATAAACAGCAATGTCAATCATATCAGTCTATAGTCATATATCTCCAATGGTTTGATATGATGATATGATCATATGATCCAAAAAATAGCATCTCATCATGGTGCGCTTGTCGCACCGTCATCGTCCCAGCAGTGGCAGGGGTGGCCAACCAGTGTGCGGCCTGAGGCGGACCAACACCCTGGCGCACGTACGGCAAAAGTGGGGGTGGCCCAGAGGCTGAAAGAAAAGGAGCAGTAGCTTGGGTGTTTACCTCGCTATGGAACATTGAAGTCCATGGGTTTGTCGTTCATCATGTTGAGACCATCATAGTAGACCGCGAAACGGTGGGCAAATATCCTTTTTCGGAGGGTCACAGCCGGCTGTACGGAAGCCCCCTTCATGCAGTGGCCGACACCGAAACAAGAGGGATTGGTTTTTCCCAGAGTGCTCCACTCGCCGGGTTCGGAGCCGTTGTGGCTCACGACAGCCAGCCCCTGTATTTTACACCTCTGCCACCAGCCCAACGGCAACGACCTCTCCCAGCGGCCTGGGGGGGGTTCTAGAAGAAGAAGCACACGAAGAACGGGTTGAGAGCTGCTTTCCAGGCCCAATCCAGAACCCACTTACCTATAACAGTCGCTGGCTCCATTAGGGAGCAGTTCCGACAGGAGAACTAGCAGCGCTATCAAGCGAGTCTCACGACTTTCCAGTGGAGTGAGGCTATTCCACCATGGTAGACAAGCTGAGACGGCAAGGTCACACATGATGAGCTCCTCCACGCCCGACGATTCACATTCTTCGCGCGAAGCAGCCAGCTTGCAGATGGCTCTTTGGAATCCTCCGAAAGAAAGAAGAACTTACTTCCCTGCTATTCGGACCACATGGAACCCCAAAACCACGTCGGGTTGGTCTTCGGAAAATGGTCGTTTCACCACCGGTCTTCTTTCGACCCGGTTCCATTGGGATCGTGTGCGGAAGAGTACGCCCACCACGCGACACGAACAGGTCCGTCCAGCAGACGCAGCCAGCGCCGGCTCGATTGATGCTCTCAGGACCAGCGGTCGCAGGCAGTTCATGAAGTCGGCGCTCAAGAACAAGGCGGCCAAGGCGGACCCGGCTTTGACTCCGGAGTCGGTGCCTTTGGGTGTTCCGAGTGGTGCCTATGGCTGGAAGGAGTTCATTTCTCCACCTTGGAAAAGAACAAAGGCCCGCTTCTAACAAGTGATTGAATTGTATGGTTTTTTTTAAGATATGTTTTTAATGGCCATCGGCTATCTCTTCCAGAACCTCGCAGATAGAAGCAACTGAGTGAAAGAAATCAATTCGATCGGAGTTTTCTGAGATAGAAGTGGTTCAACTGCTAATCAGACCCACGGTCGGTATGGATCTGTATGGCATATTTACCAACCAATTAGGGTGCTTTGGTAACATGGTCACTGTCCATGTACATCTTCCAGTCGGTGACTGGTTGGTTTCGAGTCCGTCCCAAGCTGTCGACTGGCCAGCTCCGATCCCTCAAGGGTGTCGAAACCGTCCTATGAGGTGAAGTCAGACGAGGAGTCGAAGCAAAGAACCATGGTTAACTGGATCTTCGACCCCCCTGGTGGTAGAGGAAAAGGAGTACTCTTCCAGGGGGCCATGTTCATCCATGTTCCACTTCCATGATTGTTTGAGGGATGGTATTTTGTTGGAAAACGGTATATGTTTCTCGCCATGGCCAAGAGTTTTTACACACGTGCTTCTTTGGCATCCCTGGCAGATGTAGAGTTGTTCGACCTGGAAAAAGGGCTTGGCATGTCGATCTTTTTTCCGAGGGAAAATCCTCCTTGTTCTTTTTGTTGACACCTCATTGGCCAGTTCCATTCCATTGGGCATGGCACTAGAGAGTCGATGGTGGTTAAACCCAGCACCCCAGAATACGCGCCTTGCAACAGGAATTGGAGGGTGATCAGAATCCAGAACTGTTCGAGGAAGACCGGTTTTGGCGCTCCGCGTGAGTCGCCCCTCTTTGGACCTCCGGATTGCCTGAGCCATCCACCAGTGACCCAGGGTCAGACGAAGCGCTTCTTGAACAATGTGGCTTGGCAGCAGTGCTAGGGGCGACAGGGACAGGGAGCAAAGCGGAAGCAAGACGTGGAGCCTCAACACCCAGGAACAAGAGCCCTGAAGCCTTCTATCAAAGTTCCATCTCCAGTTTTGTTTTAAGTTGCTTCCTAGCCTATACAGTATAGCCTATGCATGCAATTCTGAAGCCGCAGCTGCCATGATTCGTGGCCTTGTGCCCATTCGTGGGTCTCTTCCAGCAACGGAGAATACAGTACAGACCAATTGATTTGGTCATGACGATGGCAGACATCGCGGCCATCGTATGGCTGAACAAGTGGTGACTGGCTGAACAGGTGATGCAGAGGTTCCAGGTGGCCTGGGACCTCATGGGACCGAAACAGATGCCACCTGATGGCCCGTAGGAAGCCGTTACTTAGGCCGCTACGGCCGTGATAGGCCTCTCTTAAGCAGCCCGGAGAAGCAGCCACGGTGTGTTTGGACCTCGGTGAGGAAGGTCCGAGAAGCCTCCCCAAATCCGCCACACATGCCACCCTGTTACACATGTTGTAGAGACGTGGTATCTTTCAGGTACATCGTTTCGGGGTACTATTGATTGGATAACTTAGTGTAATGGATTGAACTATCATCCAACTATTATATATAGGCCTCCAAATAGATTTATACAAAGTAGATCCCCACGTAGAAATGTCGGGAAACCATGCGTGCCACTATCTATTGGGGACATCACAAGAATCATAGAAGATTCCTTAATGGCTCGCTGCACTCCTCCTCTCCTGCACTCGGCACTCCAACCCGCAAGGAGATGGTGACCGTCGGAAAGAAGGACAAGTATGTCGGGGGGCCCCAGGCTACAGCGGGTGCGGTGACTCTCCGCTGTTCGGTGGGTCGCTTCCATTCCAGCGGATTTCACATCGCCCGAGCCGCAGTCGGGGGTGAGGTGGACAAAATCCGGGGGCGGCAAATCCCCAAACCTGGACCAGCAGTCACAAAGGGGTGGTGTTTAGTCCCTAAGTGAGTGGATAATAATGGGCACCCCTAACCTCCATGGATAGCACCCCGTCTTGTGACTGCTGGGAGAAATCTCTTGGTTTTTTGTCCCCGGTTGGGAAGACGTGCCAGATGGGCGAATCCAGATTCGGGTCCGAAATACAGTACCCCATGGCTTTTCCGCCGGGGTAAACACCGTGCCTGAAGGTGTTGAATGCATGGTCAAATGGCGCAAAAGAACGATCATGTGGGATGATCTGCAACTGGCAAACTCGCCAAGCATGAACCCGATGTGGAGGGTGAGATGGATCTAATTAACTTTTAACTAGCAAATATCACAGATGTGTTTTGTTGAACCATGTTGAACCTATCAATATATCTTCATATTACAAGAGATCCACATGGTACCGCCGATTCGAAGCCTTTCACCGAAGCTCCGAGCCTTCTCAGTTGCACAGCGGTGGCGAGTCGGCCGAAGACAAAGCGAAGACCTCGGTGGAGCCCGGGGAGCTCAGACTCGGTGGGAAGGACCAAAGGGCCCGGTGGACGGTCCAGGGCAAGGCAACCGGACAAACGGCGCTGGGTGTCTTTCAAACGGCGCCTAAATGAAAAGCCCTAGGCCCGTTGGATTGGTTCAGCAGTCGGAGTTGGGTGGTGTAGGTCCCATCCAGGGGCCCTAAATATGAGACAGGGGCACTCCAAAGCTCCATGGACCCCGTCTTGTTGGGTGTTGAGTTTACATTTGGCATGTCTGAGTTTACATTTGGTCCGTGCTTTTTTTGGGGGGCGGGCTTCGTGTGTCTTGGGTGGTGGGAAGACACTGAAATGATTTCACTGCGCCGCCAGTTGGGATGAATTTGGACTACAGTACCCGAGTATTCCTACATCCAACGAGGTGGTCATCCCAATGATTCCCTCCCCGAACCCAGGACTTGTTGGAAATGAAATAAGGCTAAAAAACGGCTGCATTTTATGCATCACGTGATGAGTTTTGATTCAATCTTGGCTCTTGAGTGTGAAGACCGTGGTCTATCTGCTTTGGGAAGTCACACGGCCTTGAAATTCCAAGCGAACTCGCTCAAGCGTTCGTGAGCGAATCGCTCGGTCCGGGGGGTTATGTCTCTTTCGAAGGTCCGTCTGCAGGTGCGCTCGCGCGGGTTTCTCACCGTTGTCGTCGTCAAACGCGCCGGCAAAAGCGCCTCGCGCACCTCGCTCACTCTCTCGATCGTTCGAGGCTCTACATCATTGGCATCGGTCGAGGTGGTCGTCATGCTGTCAAGGTCGCCATGCACGAGAAGAAGAAGGGGCGACTTGGGTCCCCAGAGACGGGCGATGTCGCGATGTATCGCGGATTGAGCGATGTTGCTCATCTTTCGGCTGACACGAAAGGGGTGGTCGAAAGGGGCACCCCTTCATCATGCAATGAGGTCCTCAATGAGTTTGATCACACAAAGCTTCTCAAGCTACGTACCTGTGTTTGCTTGCGGTGCGTTCGTGGGAGATGTGTGGAGCTTCCACTTTTCAGGTGAAAAAGAAGTGATGAGATGTGTGAAAGCATTGGCATAGCAGGGTTATGCAGGGTTTCTTGGTATTCACACCGCTTCGCGGTCGAAGCCGTCCGCACGGAAATAGGGCTATACCACGTAGTCCGAGTCTCACCATCTTGATAGCTCTACCACCTGTTTGCACGAAAATAGTCTATTATTGAACAAAAAGAACAGCACGACGATTGGTGCATCTACCTGTTATCCGACATTGCGTTGTAGCTATCGCCTACGCTGGTACCTATCTTAGGCGGAGCTCAATAAGAATCTCTTTCGGGAAGGCCACACGAACAAGCACACACATGATGTCAATAATGCATTTTCCCTCGGGCAGCGTAACAATGATGATGTCAATAATGCAGTCTCACTCGGACAGCGTAACTGACATCACCAATGACATCATCATTTTTCATACGTTGTTATAAAAATAACAAAAAAACACACATACACACACACAGCATTCTAGAGCAAAAATGCACACTCCGCCCAAAGCTAAAGCTTAAGCTATGCTATCTAGCAACTCTAGCGTTAGCGGAGTATGCGAACTGACGCAATGCACTTGATTGACTTGGAAGGTGGCCTGAGTTTGGGACGGCGAACTTGCGACTGGGAACGTCGAATATCGAACGAACGTGAGGGCATCTGGCCGGCTGAGTGGTGGATGAAATCCATCCCTTTCGACGCCAAACATCTATAACCTCAGAAGTCTCCAGGGTCATGTGAAGTCTACAGGGTTGAACACTCCAAGAGGGTCGAACCACTGACCACGGATTTTGCGTCCGCGATGCCTCAAACATCCGTTCCTTTGGTCTAACGTTGATTGAGGACCCCCCAGACTATCGCGAATCATCGGGGGTGTGGTGGTTTTGGCCCAGCCCAAGCGGGGAAGACCTGCTCCCCCCGTGGTGGGCTGGCTCACGTCGCCGATCACGTCGCCGATGCGCCGCTGTTTCGCGCGGGACACTGAGGCCGATGAGCAACAAGCATCACAAATAGATCGAGAAAAAAGTGAGGGACCGGCGCGTGAGGTCGAACGAGCGGACGTCGACCTGTGGACTCTTGTAGACTCCGTCCGCGCGAGGTCGTCTAGTCGGAGCGGGCCAGTCTGAGGACTCCAAAGAGGAGGTTCCCTGGAACGGAGACGTTTTGAAACATGGACCCCCCATAAAGAGGACCAACATTTGTCCAGGGCTATCATGGGAAATGATGGTTCATCGACCTACAATGCTCATCAATGCTCTATATCCAGCTTCTTCAAAGACCTTTTGAGGGTTCCATTGTATGACATGACATCAACACCAATATTTTGGTTGACCTAGCTGGGAGGTCGAGCCGCATGGCGGAACACTGCCTCAGGTTGGTGTTTAAATGTTTTTAACCATCCCCACATCACTCTATGACTTGTTTCACAGGCTCCAAGAGCGGCCTCCTCCCCCACAACTTATTACTCACTACGAACCATTCATCACCCACCACATCCCACCTAACCACCACATCCCCCACGACTGGTCCCTGAGTCTTGCCGGGTCCTTCTTTTCGGCTCACCACGCGGGCGCACGGGCGCCGAATGATAGACACCGGGGCGCGAGCTCCCCGCGCCCCAGGTACGTGGGACGGGAGTGTTTGGGTGGTTTTTTTTCGTTAAGAATACAGAGACCAAAGTCTATTCCTGAGATAAAGATAGTCTTCATATTAGCACATTATGCCTTCATTCCTTTGGAGTTTCTTGGGTGCGCTATGGTGTGGTGAAGAAATTGATAGGGAGACGAGACCCCTATCTTCTACCCTGGTCGAAGCGGGCGATGGACGAACTGGAAGCGAACCCCGCGGGAACAATGGAAACGCCTGGGTTGCGGTCTCCCTCTTTGAGCGACGCGCCCAGACGGATCAGGCTTCATTCCAGACGGAAACACATGATCGTTCATTCCTGTTTCCAACACCGAGTCGGGCGAATGTGAGTGATTCTTCTGTGGGGAATGTAAGCACAAGACAGTTCGATCACGGAAAGCCGTTGAGTTGCGCATATTTTTTGGAGTTTCACACCGCATAAGGAGGTGGGTCTCGTTCCTTTTGGCACTTTGCCGAACCTACACAATTTTGTCTTTTATTCTTCCCCCCAACCCAGTGATTGCAATGGTCATGCGTTACATGCCCTAGGTCCCTATTCGCAGTTTTCTCTTGGGACCGATGGAGATCTCACTTCTTCACCTCTTCAATTCTCACTGCTGACACATCCCAGCACCTTCCCAGAATGCACCAAGTTGAGCCTTCCAGTTTCGGCCCGGCAGAGAACCAGGGAGCGGTATCACGGTTGATCTGGGCAGCGGGCTCGCTGCGCACTGCAGGGTGTCCCTAAGCGCAGCGTCAGTTCGCTCGCCGGTGTGCGACGAGCGTCTACATGCCGGGGGCCCTATCCGGTTTGGGACGAGGTTGGAACAGTAGACGAGATCTCATTATGTAGACAGAATTTCAACTGGAGCAACCCAAGATAGAATTTGAATCTGGAATAAGTATATAATAGTAATTATATATATATATATCTCTACAGTATATGCGTAGACGAGATCAAATTGCTACTCATTGTTTCTCGCTGGCTTGGTTTGGGGTAGTGGGGTAGTTGAATGGTCACTGTGTCAAGAGGTCCCTACAATGTACCATGTGCTACAGTGACCGCCCGCAAGACACTCTCTTCTTGCACGCCCGGGCGACAGACAGTGGCTACATGTCGACCTGTCTTGGCCCACCCATCATCCCGAACTCTTTTTGGTTGAAACAAGACATCCAGACTGCCAGACTGCACCGGGAGCATTGAAAGAAAAACACACACCACACCACCACATCATCGCCGGCCGCACACATCATCACCATGATACCCCCAGCCGTGTGCCACTGTGATTTGAAATCCTCCATTTCGCCCAGAGAAGCTGCAATCTGCAAACGTTTCATGAATCTTGACTATAGTCACCGGAATAGTCAAATTTCATATATTTCATATATATATATATATAATATAGTATGTTAATGTATAGAAATAGTGTCTGGAATAGTCAAACGTCATACATATAAAAATGGTCACAGGACCTGGCGTCACTTTCAATAGGACCTGATTGACGCCAGGTATGTCAGGTCTGTGCTCCTCCTATGGGCGCTCACGACAACTCCAGTCACCTCGATGACGCCCAGTGGCTCGATGATGCGACGGGAAGAGGACCGAGTGGAGGGTGGAAGTGGAGACATCCAGGGTGTTGGAGGTGCAGGGTGTTGGTTCCCAAGAATACAGAATATGATTTGGGTGAACTGAGTAATCTAATGCTATCTGTACTCCGAAAAATGCAACAGAAACGTGTATATATATACTATAATACTAATACTGATACTGATACTAATACTAATACCTATACTATACTATACTACTGTATACTATACTATACTATACTATACCATACCATACCATACCATACCGTACCGTACCATACCATACATACATACATACACATGCATGCATCATGCATCATGCAACAAACATAGCACAGTTTGCTGGAGCTTTCGGTGAAGAGACCAAAGCCGGTATAGAACCAGGGCAGCAGAAGCATGAAGATGCAGAAGCCAAAGGTCATCACTTGCGATGTCATCGGTGAAGTGAAAGTTTTGCTAGCAATTTTGTCCTGATGTTCAAGGATTCAATATAAGATTCTGAAAGGCACTCTCTCAAGACTTCTTCAGGGTTGGAGGCACAACCCAGCACAAAGGTATACAAAGGTCTGAGTTGCCAGGCGCAAATCTCGGGCAGACCGCTGTTGGATCCAAAGCTGGCTGTAGCTAGCACTTAATTCTTGGGCTGGACGCTTGAGCTAGCAAAGAAGCCGTGAATTGGCCATGCTCCCCAAATCCAAGCTCGTTGTACTTCTCAACCATGTGATCATTTCTCCTAGATGGGCAGCTGGAATCCCAAAGAAACCTCAAAGAAAGTCTACCCTTTCAGCATTGGACCCAACCAGTCCTCGTGGTCCGGCCGCAGTGACCCAACCACGAGGACTTGACGGTGCTGGATGAGATGCCCGATGAGAGCGAGGAGAGCAAGGACAGCGAGGAGAGCGAGAGCGACGAGGAGGTGGCCGTGAGGAACCTTAGAGAGGGCGGGAATGACAGAAGTGACGATACGATGCAGATGGACCTGTCGCACAACACAAGGACCGACCTAGAAGTTTCTCTCTGGGAATCGAACATGAATCCAAGCACATGACGACCCGGAAAAAAGACAAAGAAAAACATATCTGGTATTGGGTATACGTGTCTTCCCTTTTGCCATGTCACGGAGAAACTCGGATGGCCCTTTCCTTCTATTGTCGGAGCGGTTAGTTCTTGACCGTCTGACTCATATCATCTCAATTCATCTCATATCCCTCAAGGAGTTTTGATTCTTAAGGATCCAACGTTGCGGAGGCTGACACTTGGAGTCATTCCATGTCACTCTGGGTTCCATTCCAATCAGCTGTGCTGATCCGTGCTCCAGCCGTGCCTTCTTCCGTGCTTCCGGCCGAGCCAAGCCAAGCTGAATGGTCCAACCCAGACACTCCATGGGACTGCCATATATGCCGATCAGTTGGGGTGGTTTTGGGAGTCAATGGGGTGGCATATATGGCAGTCCCATGGAGTGCATGGTCCAAGGTTGAGCAAGTGGCCCACCTCATGGCTGACCGCAGTTGGAGCTCGCCTTGGGTGCTCTACAGCATTCAGACCGCTGCGCACCCTGAGCTGAAACAGCACTGAGCGGCCAGGGCGTGTGGTATGTGGGCGTCACTCTGTGGGGTCATCACCTGGAGATGGTCTGCGATAGCTCTGGTGTGCTGCCAAATGAGTTGAACCCGTGGAGCGAGCGACTGTCGTTTCGCAATTTTGCAGTGACTTGCATTCATCATACCCTGCTTGGGAAGGATTAATAGTGGCAGATGGCGATCAAAGATCCCGAAGTGAAGTCTTCCTGAGCCTTTACAAATCTCAGAAAAGGTGGGCACCATGTCAGCGCCGGCCTGCCATTGCTCAATCATGCTGGCAAGTTGATTCATGCTTAGGAGGGGTGAGGTGTTTACCCCCCCCAGATTCGGTCTATCTTCACTCAGAAGGGTAGGGCGGTTGTTCGGCGAGGCTTCGTTGAGGAGGAAAGAATCGAAGCGTTCTGCGGTGTTCGAGGCATCGAAGTCTGCACTCCAGATGTTGATGCTCACCGGCGGGGGGGTTAGCTGTGTCTTCTGTCCCTGGAAGTGCAACCAGTAGAAGTAGAACCAGTGGTTCCGACAGAAGCGCGACTCCCTGGTTGCCATCTCACACAGATCGCGACCTACCAGTGCTTTTTCATCCGAGGGACAACCTGGAGGCGATCTTGGCCTCGTTGAGGACGTGGGCAGCGGAGCTTCCACCCAACCGGCTGCAGGTGCAGCTTTATTCCAGCATGTTTTGGCTAGTTCTGCGCCATGAACATTGGGTTGGCTTTGGGATGACAAGGACTTAGTATCATAGCTTTTGGCTTGATGGGAGGTGAAAAGAAACATGAAAAGTCGCTGCATGCTGTAAACCAGCTCGCTGTTAATACCACACCATGTTTTGATATGTTGAGCTCGTACTTGGTTTTCTTGGGAGGTCTACCTTTTGTGTCTGTCTTCAGCAAGTGTCTACTAATTTTTCTGTTGGAGGAATTTGGTGCTGAGTGTTGCTTACACATGTTGTAAATTGAGTGTTTTTCAGAAAAAGAGCAGCCCACACCTGTTAAGAGGTGCTGTCGCTTTCTTTCTCATCAGCTCTGGAAGCTTTCTTTTTTCATGTTTCACTGCCTGCCATCTCCTGCCACTCAGCATCTCCCCGGAGTCTCGATGGTCTTGACCTTCCGATGACGCGCGCAGGTCATCGGCATGAGCCAGCCGAAAGGGCTGAGCTCGCCGGGCTCTCGCTCTCCGCGCATCGACTGGGATCGATCCAGTTGCCCGGACACGCATGCCGGTGGGGCCTGTAAGGCGCGGTCGGGAGGACGGGTGTGAAGTGATGAATCCAGATGTGGGGTGGTTATGAGATATTATAAATTCTAAGAGTCTACATGATGTGGCAAAGTAAGGATCAATTAGTTTTGAGTGTCTTGGGTCAGCAGCTTGTTGTCTGAAGATGTTTGAATCTTCTTGAGAGAAGATGCTATCTTTCTTGGACAGGGAGTCTTTTCCTCAAAGAAGGTTTTCCATTGAAGTTCTCCTCAAGATCGATATTGGCATATTCCCTGCCAAAATATGTCAGAAAGATTCTGCACTATTGCCTGCTCGGCTTAAGCTCAGCTTCTACTTATGGCCGTTCTGCTTTTCTCTGAGATCATGAGATGAACCAAAACCATGAACAGGCAGTCTTTTGGGGGTGCCAACTGTTAATTTCAAGACAAAGATTTGCACGTTTTTGCACGGGATTTGCTGGAGGTACATGGGGTCTGAGCTGAGTTGTCACCTCAAGGATTGCCTTTGCACCCCCAGATGCACCAAGTCTAGAGCGACAGGTCCTCATCATAGATGGACTTTTACTATCTTTTACTATCAGTTGGTTGATTATTAGAGAGGATACCCTCAAGTGCAAGCAATAGGTCAATGGCACCAAACCGACCCATCTATTCTTCCCCAAAGGACACCACTGGTCCTCATCATGTTGCTATGAAAAGCTGGTGCGTCCTGAATCCAGCGGTTCGCCGCTCCCGGAGCGAGGTCGAGCCCTGGGGGGACAGTTTGGACCTTCCAGGGGTGGTTAATGGACACCCCGAATCACGGCTGGCTAAGGGGCTATAAATAGACACCCCGACAGGAGGGTCCTGGCATGTTTTTTTTGACACCCCCCTTTAAACACTTGTCACTTATGGTGCAACTGGCACAACAAGAACATCTAGTCAGTGTCTTCGTGGTAAGAATGAGAAGAGCCACTAATCACTATAATCACTAAGGTTGTATCATCCTCACTCTTCCACATTGATCCCATGCTAGCAGTCTCGCAGTACCCATGACCACGCATGCGTTCGCTCTTCCGCCTCCGCCCTCCGCGGAGGCGGGGCCGCGGAGCGACTCGGAGCACGTCGGACGTCGCCAGGACTTCACGGCTCTGGCGGATGCCTGGCAGAAGGGCGCCGATTGGGCGCCGCCCTAAGTGGGATTGAGTTGTGGTGGTCGGCCACGCGCGGCACGGGGAGTGGCGGGCCGGGCATGGCAAGGTGGGCGAGGATCTATAGTAGTAGTTCGGGAAACTCGAGGGTTTTTGGGGAGCAGACATCACTGGTCTTTGATACGGGTGTCAGATGCTTTGATTGTGCTCTATACCAATAGTGCTTTGTTCTCTTTGACCCAGTCTGTTTCGATGCCGTGTTACGGACTGAGGTGGTTCTGCTTGGGAGCGACGCTTGGCTGCCGGAACAGGGGTACGGGGTACCTAGTACGGTTCAACAGAAAAGACCCCAAAAATCACAAAGCGGTAGATGCTCTGTTGATAAAGGGTCCCAGACTTGGTACTTTTTCGAGCAGTGTTGGTGCGTTTTCTCCAGTTCTAGTCGCGTGGCAGAGTGGGGGCCCATCGTAGCAGAAGTCTAGAGTCTCAAGACCCTTGTAGCGGGACTCTGCGAACCAGCGCCTGGATTGAGGACAACTATGCGATCGCGAAGAACATCGAGGCACCTCTCTGGAGCTGAAGATCTGCTGCCGGCAACCCATAACAGTTTTGAGATGCCATGTGGCAAATCACGAAAGATAATCTTTTTGGGGTGTCAGTTATTTTGGGGTGTTAGGTTCTTCATTGAGAACATGAAACCCACCCTGATGGTTTTTGTTCTTTTTTATTTTTCCAAATGGTTTCTGCAAAATCTTGGACTGCAACGCAGTCACTTTGTTATTTGCCCGTGTTCACAGCAGCCAACATCCTATCCAATCAATTGTTTCATTGCAGCTTTGCAACTCTGCCCAGATCGCCAGATGCATTGGAACAGCTCATCAGCGGCTCCCAGTTTGCCCTCGCAGTGGTTCGAAATAGAAGAGGACGCCTTTCTGGCGACTCCGCGCCTCCTCAGCCATGCAATATTTTGCTTACATATCATGCACGCAGAGATGAATTTGTCATGTGACCAGAGAGCCGGCACGCAGGCCGTTGCCATTCCTGGAGGGTGCCAGCCGCGCTCAGTAAGAGAGAAGCAGCTTTGCCGAAAGCCTTGAGGCGCAACAGGCACAAGGGTTTTCTAACCATGTCTGATGTCAAACCTCAGGCCATCTTCCAGCTTGCAGAAAGTTTATCCATCGGTGTCATTCAAGGACAATACCCAGGGACCGGAACTGAACCCTTTGCACTCAAGCTTACTTTGCCCAAGGCAACGCAGCAAACACGGGAGCCGCTTAAATTTAGAAGCCGAGGTGGGTGACCTCGTTGCAGCACTTCCACCAATCTTGGCTGGAGGGAAAAGGGGGCGAGACCCCAAAGCAAAGCCAAGAGCAGAGGCGGCGAGGGGCCGCCCCTCTAAGCAAGAGAAGCCATCCAGGAGTCAAACCACTCCCGCCACTATGGTTGAGAAACCTTACGATGGCAATGCGGAATTTCTGGCCGCAGAGAAGAAATGGGCAGACAGCTTGTTGGAAGGTAGAACCTTAGCCATTCGTCACCCGTGGTTACTATGCTCCGACGGCTTCAAGCTCTTGCTTTGGTGCAACAGCTGCCGAAAATTCGCCAAAAGCCAAGGTGGGTGGAGGGCCACCTCTGCCTACACCATTTCGAGCCAAACCATTACTCGGCGATACACTCCGCAAACGGCACGTGGCCAGTTCGACCTAACCAGGGCTTGGAACCCGCTGACGGCCACGACTGAAAGCGGATTAGAATGCATATGCAGACCAACACCCAGATCAGCCGGTGCCTGAAACTTTCTTAAAAGCATGGCGAAAGGACCATAAAGCTAGTAAGAGCTCATGCCACGCAGCCAAGAAAGTCTGGCGACACGACGATTGGCACCAGCTCCTCCGCACAGCGCCAAACCTGGCGTCTGCGCCAGACTCAGATGTCTTGGCAGTCGTCTCGTCAAACTTGTCTCCAGACCACACGGTCGTTGTCTTTGTAAACCCTGCTTGTTTAGCCAGACGATACGCAAGCTGACCGATTACATTAAGCTGTGCGGCGATGGCACTTTCCGTCTGATCCGTGCCGGCTGGGTGTTGCTCAACCTGGGTGTGTTGAGCAAGCATTATACTCGCGTAAGTGGCACATATGCATTTCGAAGCACTTTCTCACCACTAGCGTTTGCAATTGCAAATAAGGAGTGCCAGGCGACCTACACCGCTCTGTTCAGAGGTGCTGTCACGTGTGCGAAATCTTTTATAGACTTGGACTTACCCCCTCGTGTCTTTCAATATCATTGCGATTGGCACCCTGGGGAGAATTTAGCCCGCCTGGCTGTATTCCCCAATTCTGCAAGGGCAGCAGACTTTTCTCACTTCATTGGAGCGTGCGTGGGGCCACGCCAAAAAGCAAATTTCACCGCACGCGGTGTTTGACGCATCTGTTCTGGAGTTTGAAAAGCCGCGTGCGTCGCTATTGGGAGCTTGACTTCCTTGTTTTTGGTGGCGCTCATTGACCAGCATTAGTATTCCAATCCTTGCCTGAGAGTACGCCATACAGACACGACTCCTAAATGAATTTACTCTCTATGAGAGTTCCACTGAAGGTTATCCTGGGGTTTTGGTGGGCTTTGCTGATAGCAATCTCTTAACCTTCAAACGATTTTAGAGTAGGTTCATCATTCATGATGGTTGCGCGCCCAAACATGTGTTTGTTCAATTGTAATGGGTCAGCTTTGTTTACAACAAAATTCTGTTTCAATATCATGTCCATGTGTTTGCTTTCCATGGCTCACTTAAGTTATTTTCGCGCACAAAGTGCACAAAATTGTCGCACACAAATCTTGTACGGAAAACGTAAGCAAAGCAGCTGTCGCGCACACAATTTAAAGTTGAAACACTGAGAAATACCTAGCCCTTGAGACCACTGTTTTTTATTTACAGTGGTGCTAGACAGTGCTTGATCACAAATTGTTGCTGTTGCAATTCCATTTATGAATGCGGCGCCGTTTTGGGGCAGCAGACCTGGCAAACACTATACGATAAACCTGATCGAAATTCGTTATTGTTTTTCAAAGAAAGCAGACAGTCAGAGGACTGCCTATCATGTTGGCGACTGGCGTTTTTCCTTCCAAAACATGATTTTCAGGAGATGGTCGTGTGCGCAGTGACCTTTTTTCATACATCTTTACAATATGAATTGAATTTTTGTCAGGCGACAGTCCCAGGGAGCAACCTGCAACCTCACTGCTGGAGAAAACTTTGGGCGCACTCTATTCCTGGACATTGGCCATTTCATAGCAAGCAGCCATCAGCTCAAGAAACTGGACACTACAATCTTCGATTTTTTGCCAAAAATACATCAGTAAGGCACATTTTGTAGACTGCCTTTTTTGCAGCTGCAGCAAAGCCACTTGCGCAAAATGAGCGGTGGACTTGGCAGCATTTCAAAAGAACTGCTGCGACCTCATGTCTTCAACAATTTTTTACAGCAAAGTCATTTGCGCAAAATGGGTAGCTGACTTGTCAGCAAAAGTTTCCCTTATGTGAGATCACAGCATTTCGAAAGAACTGCTGCGGTCTTGGCCTCTCAAATTTTGTCCATGACTGCCAGGTAGTTCCTGTGACTGTATCGCCTTCCTTTGGAAAAGACAACAGGCAATTGCGAGGTTCAAATTGTTTTGGGGTTTTGGCTTAACTTTCCCCCAAAAATCAGGGTACTGTTTTTTGGCAGGGACTGCTACCCAATGACCCTGTAATACTTATGGAAAAACTTTTGCCAGAGTCATACTATTATGAAAACCAATGTCAAGGAATAAAACGAACTCCACATTTTCTCTAGCAGTCAGGTTTCAGGTTGCTGCCTGGGACTGTGCCTCACCAAAGTTTGTCAAGAACATGTGCAGGAAAGACTCCTGCCCATGACTGCCTCCAATTTTTCGAAAATTATTCCCAGTAAGTGTTTGTCCAGGTAGTTCCTGTGCCTGTCTCCATTGAAGATCCCAAGAGGCAATTGCGAGGTTCAAATTGTTTTGCCTCACTGTTCCCACAAAGCAGCTACAGTTTTCTTGACAGGGACTGCTGCCCAATGTCCCTGTGCAATCCAAGCAGCAATTCAGAGAGACATAGTTTTCTCAAAGGAAAAAAGCATTGAATACATGCCTTTGACCCCAAGAAGGAACCAGGTTAAAGAAAACAATCACACATTGAAAAGGAATCATCCGACGGACAGTGTGGGGGCTTGCAAAGCTTTCCTAAAGAAGGGAACACTCTTAAACAACGTTTGTCTCTTCAATAAATCACGGGTGAGAAAAAATATTGTCCCTGGCTGTGGTTTTCTTAATTTGACTTGTCAAGCACCACACAGTACATAGTTTCTGAGCACCAAACACCAAATGCTGAGAAACTTGCTTCAAATCGCGCACCCGATGAGAAAGTCCAGCCCTACAGGGTGGGGTTTGTGCAGACTATGCGTAAGCAATAGCGTGCAGCATCTAGTTAAATGGGTATACGTCTTACGACATTCACCCAGAGCTGACTAAATCAGGTCCGTGTTGGGACTCCAAGGTTCCCGGATGTCCCCACTGAACGGTTTCCAGATCCTTTTGTCTTGCATGATTAGGGCCTTTGACAAAGGAGGGTCGCTCGTCAGCCGAGCATTACCACAGAATAGCCTCTGGCTCTCTGTGGTACGCCATGCGTCGCACGCTGGCCACGGGACAAGCCCCAGGCACATTGGGTTGCTAGACCAGATGCCAAGGTTGTTCGTCCGCCTCCAGAACTTGCAGCCAAACTAAGGGATCTTTTGTTGGCAAGAGATGCGACCGCTCTCGCTAGTGCCCTTCAACGTGCCGCCTGCATTTCGCAATCAGAAGGCCACGTGGACTTAGAGGCCTTGCGTCGATTGCTGCCTCTGAATTCTGGTGGCTCACTAGCATCGATGCTTACGCTCCGCCTTATCGACAAGCAGTTTGTTTTCGGTGCAACATTTTTGCTTTGCACGGTTCCTGCGAGCATATCCACGCAGCTTAAGTGGCTCCACACCGGCTACATCGCCATGACAGTTTCACACCTCCCAGCCTGGCCGCGGCGGCTAGCAACGCAAAATCCTGTGCCCACCATCCTCCGGCTTGCTTACAAACGCCCCGCTTCCAGCTCCTCGGGGCATATCGCTGCCAATGCCGATGGATTGGATCGTCGGCTTTGAACCATTTTACAGCACCTTGGACTTCAAACTTTTATTCCTGCCTTCCAAAAAGAAGGGCTCGGCGCTGACATCCTTGCCACTTGGGATTTACCTGCTATGAAGCATATTTCCCTGAACTGGGTGGTGGCCTGGCCACTCGTCTCCTCGAGCACTGCACAGCGCCAGCCTCAATGGGTTCTTCAATGTTCTTCATGTTCTCACTTTAATCTATGCGTATCTCTTAACTTACCCGCCGTCAGGTTCATGCTGATACCGATTTGCACCCCTATATCGACCAGGATTGTAAGTTGTGTGCTTGTGATTCCCATCAACCTTGCTTTTGGGGGGTTCGTGTGCGTAAAACCGCGGCGGAAGTTGTCCATGCGCAGGAATTTCGCCCCGAAGACAAGGCCGACCGAAACCCATCCTCAAATTTTTACACCAGCTTGCAGCGCATTGGTCTGAAGCTTCCAATTCTTTTTTTGATACAGTGCTTGTTCTTGTTCTTGTTCTTGTTCTTGTTCTTGTTGTCGTTGTCGTTGTCGTTGTCGTTGTCGTTGTTGTTGTTGTTGTTGTTGTTGTTGTTGTTGTTGTTGTTGTTTCGACTTGTGATGTTTCATTTCACAGAGATTCTGACACGCAGGCACCTCCGGAAGAAGAAAGCGAAGAAACAGCAGAGGGAAGAGATTGCGCAGAGGCCCAAACCTGTTGACTCTTCTCGACACCATTGCATACGACGTCTTACCTGTTGCTTTTTGCTCTGGTCGCTTCTGATTCGATGTCGTCTTGTTTGGCAGTGGCTGCAGCTGACGCCGCGGACTATGAAGATGAAGAGGACAAAGAGACACGTTGCGCATGTACGGTGCATTGCGTTTTTCTATCGTCGCTTCTGCCCATCTTTCCCGCCTCCTTGCCGCACCAAAGGACACAGGTGAATCGCCGGACAATGAAGATGAAGAGGAGGAACATGGTAGGAGCCACAGTACCGACAACGTACACTAAGTCTGTTGACATCTATGCCGCGCCATGACCAGGTGAGTGTGAATGAAGACGAAGAGGCTGAACCCCATCCCCATCCCCACTCTCACTTTCACAATGGTTGCAAACCTTCTTACAAGCCCGCTTTCTTCGATAGCACTGCTTTCACTTCTGTGTGCCTCTGGCCAGGACGGCCAGGACGTTGCCTGCAACGCTGATGCGGGCGAGAAGCGTCCACACGCAAACCTGCTTCCACGCCTTACTGATAAACCTTCCCTTCCCAGGATGCACTACCATGTCACGATGCTCCTGTTCCGGCCGCGACCCCTTCCACCATTTTTGCCGAAAGCATCTTGCTCATTTTCCACAGTGGATTCCTGTCATGCCTTGGCAAGGAAGCTGCCACTTCTGAGCAGAAGGCAAGGGGCTATGAGCGGTTGGCAGCTGCTGGCCTCCTGAGAAAGCCACTGGAGGAGAGACAAGTTTCTGAATACCTTTCCCGAAGGAAGGAGTACAAACACAGCAGCCGCCCGTAGTTCGCACAAAAAAGGCCTTGCTGACACGTGCGGACGCAGCGCCCGAGACCCACTTCTACTTTTAGTATTTTTACTTCTACTACTACTACTGCTACTACTACTACTGCTACTGCTACTGCTACTGCTACTGCTTCTACTATTATTACTACTACTACTACTAGTACTACCACTACTACCACTACTACTACGACTACCACTACCACTACTACTACCACTACTGCAACTACTTCTACTACTCCTCCTCCCACTACTACTACTCCTACTACTACTACTACCACCACTAGTTCTAGCACTAGTACTAGTACTAGTACTACTAGTACTACTAGTACTACAATTACTATTACCACCACTACCACCAGCGCTACTACTACTACTACTACTTCTTCTACTGCTACTTCTTCTACTATTACTACTACTACTTCTACTTCTACTACTACAACGACTACTACTAACTACCCACTACCACTACTACCACTACCACTACTACTACTACCACCACCACTAGGACTAGGACTACGACTACGACTATTACTTATACTACCACTACTACTACTACTACTACTGCTACTACTATACTACTACTACTACTACTACTACTACTACTACGACTACGACTACAACTACAACTACAACTACAACTACAACTACGACTACTACGACCACGACCATGACGACTACGACTACCAGTACTACTACTTGTACTACTTTTACCACTACTACTACTACCACTACTACTACCACTACTACTAC